TACGCAGGGGCTTGGAGAGAATTTGATCGCGGTCGAAAGTGCTGGGCAATTTAACCTGTGGCTGTCTCTAACCCAAGTCTTTGAGCTTAACAGACCCGTATTGTATTTATTTATTTTTTTGGCGGAACTGGGGATTGAACTCAGCCCCTTGCGCTTGCCAGGGAAGCGCATATTCCACTGAGCCATCTCCCCGGCCCCTAGGCCCTTATTTTTAAAGAGTCAGCAACTGCTAAAAGTTGTATTAGTGGCAACTTTTCCATCTTGTGTTATAGTGTGACTCTATTGTTTTACCTTCAAGATGAGTTAAAAAATTAAGCAGTATGATCACATTAATTTTAACTCATTTGAAGATTTGTTGTTCATACCATTTACCAGAAGTAAAATGGGAAATTGTTTTTATCTTAGCTGAAGCATTGTAAAGTTGGTAAACATTTTCAACTAATTTTCTCAGGTTTTAGTTTGTTTGGAAGTAAAATAAAAACTCAACTTAAAGCTGGTATTCTAGAGCACCATACTTGTACTGTTCTATACGTTAAACTGATCTTGGGGGTGGGGACACAGCTGAGTGGTAGAGCACCTGCTTAGCTTCCTCAAAGCCCAGGGCTGCATCCTCCTGCAAATTGCAAACAGGAAAAAGACACCTTTGAACATTCTTCCCCAATAGGATGATGGATTTGAGTAGGTGTTGTTATTGTCTTTTGCTGAATCCCAAAACATTTACTTTTAATTGACATACTAATTATACACAATAATGGGTGACATTTTTTACCATTCATTATCCTGTCTTCCCTTTCCCTGGCACACTGATCTCTAGAGCTATTTGTATTGTATGTACTTTCATGACACCTGTTTTTCCCTCACTACATCCCACATGTGAGAAAAAACCTGACACTTGAGGCTGGCTTACTTCATCTAACATGATAATCTCCAGTTCTGCCCATGTTCCTGCAAATGACATATAACTTGTTTATTTAATGACCAAGTATAGTGCATCTGTGCTGCTTTATCTTTGCCCATCCCTCAGTAGGCTGATTATGTAATTTTGCTATTTGAATAGTGCTGCAATACACAGGGGTGCGCATGCATCTCTATAGTATGAAAGTCCTAATGAAAATTACTCACCATGGTAGGTATTCTTTCAGCTTGACACAAATAGGCAAAATTCTAGGAACAATGACTAGCTTTCAAGGGCTGTGCTGGGCACTAGGGGCATAGAATTCTTCACCAAAAAGAGCTTTTTTAAGTTGGTACTTGGATAAATCACATGAAGTAATATAGCTCAATCCACTTCAGTAAACATTTATAGGGTTCCCTTGTGTACGATGTATAATTTAATGGAGGATGGGGAACCCAAAGATGAGGGCGAAACTTCTGCTCTTAAGGCATATTAAGTACAGAGTGTAAGACAAGATTACTCAGGACAGTATTTGCACCTAAATACACTTACACGAAGTACAGCACAGAAGGCCCACGATCCGGGAGCTGTGAGCGGGGTTGTGGGGCACATGGTGGCTGCAGTTGGGTAAAGGCGGCTGGGGTGGTGAGATAGTGGTCTGGGCAGGAGAGCTGGGGCGGGCTGCGTCACAGGCCAGCAGCTGCCAGGCCAGTCCGCATCAGCTCGCCTGTTTTCTCTCTGTGTCTGGCTGCAAATCTGACCCTTGAAGAGGTACAAGTGACTCAGTACATTACTACTTTGGGTGTAGTTTTCAAACTTAGCTCTATGGCTGGGAAGTAACTTTGTGGTAGAGCACTTGCCAAGCACCCCCACGGCCCTGAGGACAAGGAAAGAAAAAAGAATTCTATTTGACACCATTACCCATGTACCATGTACTCTCTGCTGTCATTTAGGCTGTGGCCACAGGAATTAGAATTGATTCTAGAGATCTTTGCAAATTAGGAGTCACTGAAATTATGTAATTTCCAATTGAACCAAGAAATTATATAATCAGAATTAAATTTAGGAAAATAGTCTCAGGTTAGCGTTTTAGAAGGCCAGTGAGTGGAAACAACTGAATTAGAACAAGTTCAAATAAAAATGGGTTCTGTTGCCTCTGGAAAGGTAGCAGGGGTGAGAAAACACTAGGGACGGCCTGAGGAGATGCAGTGAGGGACGGGGCCATTGAGCTCAGGCGGCGATGGGGAACATTGGTCAGGGTCACTCAGAAGCCTTGCTTTACTGGAGATGCCATCTGTAGAGGTAAATGAAAAAGAGTTCACTGGGTAGTCTACTAGGGTTGTTTTTTTTTTTTTGCGGAACCGGGGATTGAACTCAGGCCCTTGCGCTTGTCAGGGAAGCACTTATTCTACTGAGCCATTTCCCAGGCCCCAGTCTTCTATTAGTTCTTTCGTTCAGTTTTCTTAGTGACAATTTTATATATTGTGGAATATGATGTGAGGTTTTGCTGTGTGTGCATACCCTGGCATTATTAAATCAAGCTACTTAGCATATCAGTCTCTTGGCCTACATTGTTGTGGTGGGAACAGTTAAAATGTACTCCTAGCAACTGTGAACCGTAAAATACTTTACTACTACCCGAAGCCAACAGGACATGCAGTGGATCACTGCAGCTTATCTTTCCTGACTCACCACAGTTTTGTACCCTTGGCCTCACACCTCCCCTTGGCCAACCTTCTCCCTGGACTCTGGGAACTCCCATCCTCTTTGTTTCTAAGTTTGACTTGGTTTAATGCAATCTCATATATCTATTTGTGTTTTTGTTCCTTGTGGTTTTGGAGTTACATCCAATAAATTATTGACCAGATTGGTGTTATGCAAGTTTCCCCTATATTTTCCTTTCTTTTTTTTTTCCTCAGGTACTGGGGCTCAAACCTAGGGTCTTGTGCACGCTAGCATGCCCTAGTGCTAAGCTACATCACCAGCCCTTTTTCTTTATTTTATTTTCCTGAGAAACAAATACCAATGAGACAGTTTCAAAACTGATTAATAGGACAGTTTCAATAATTAATACATTGTACATTGTTATCTTCTTAGTGGTTATCCATGGTACAAGAAGCAGACAGGATAGTCTGTCCAAACACTATTAGTACAAATCTTTCTTCTTATTGAATTAAGCGAAAGTAGCTATATATCTATCCTAACTATTCTGTGTATACAGATACAAAATGGTCCTTCCTTTGTATCCCCTTTTTTTGTTTAGTCCTGTCAGAGATCAGTATTCCATTCGCATCTAAATACTATAGGTGCGTGAATTCAGCAAAACAATCCAACA